CACCTTTAAGGGCCTTCCCGAGTGCGCGTCAGGCCGCTGCTTCTCAACAAGGGCGAGGTCCGAACGACTGTTCCGACTGTTACCCGGGGCAGAGGAGCTGAACATCATCCTCCTCTCAGTGCTGTGCCGCCCCATCACGTTAGCTCAGGCAGTCTTAACTCCTGTCTGCTGGTAATTATCATCATCACCATGCAGTTTACCAGAATTTGATTAAGACAGCTGCGGTTCAAGCGCATTAAAAACAAAACAACAGCCTCCCACCATCCCCAATGGTTCCAAACTTTAATACACTTGCGCCTGTCATTATCACATTTCTTTCTTGCTACGCTAATTCCTGGTGTTACTTCAGTTACGTCCAGACGCGCTTTCCTGATTCTCAGTGTTGGTATTACTGCTGCACCGAACAGTTTCGGTTCTATTACATCTTTCCTTTAAACGCTTCCTGCCCTCTTCCTGCTCTGTCTGTGCAGGTCGGTATGGAGCACAGCGCTGCAGCTCTGCTCCTGGGCACACGCTGTGGGCAGCGCTGCCCACACACTGCTCATGCCTCATGCACCAGAGGAACTCCAAGGAACAGCTTCCCAAGGGTCTGGCCTGCTCCAGAACCAGGGCCTACGCTGACTGACCCTTCACTGCCACACAGAGAGGCACTTTCTGATGACATTTCTTCATTCTCCACTATCTGGAGGACTCTCCTATTTAAAAAATAAGGTACTGACAGACAACCCATCAGCCAGGTTAAAAGTGCTCCCCAGCACTTTGTATTAATTCATGTCATTAAACAAAGGCAGTCACAGGAAAGACCACCTACTTCTTAACACTTCCAGACTATACACTCAAGCTGAGAAGACTTTAAAAATAAATCAATTTTTCACTGGGTTTTCTCTACAGAAAGGCATGATTACAATGCATTTCCAGCCAAAGCTTTGTAGTTCTGTAATTACTTTGCCCCAAGAGAATTTCCATAAAGGAAGGACACACGGCAATACAGAGGAGACTGTACTTTGCAGAGAAAAGTGCAATTATGTGTTAGAAATCACATGAGAAGTTATCTAATAAAATCTTACTACGACTAGAAAATGCGAGGAAGAACCTTACAGCAGGCATGTGTATTGCTTTAATGGACAATGAAATCAAAACAATTCTTATCCCAGAGGCACATGGAGTATGAAAGGGGACTTTTTAATCAGCAAGGCAATCATAACCAACTCCAAGGGCAGGCTGCAAACACCAGGGAAAAAAAATTCCTTGTGTTCAGATCTCAGCACACCTTTCTAGCTCCTGGACAAGTACTGGTGTTAGTAACTGACAAGCTCTCTTTCAGGGTGATATTTCACATGAAATGGTTAAGCATTTCGTAATTGTCTATTCATTTTGCTCTCCAAAATTCCCTGGAAAGTTTTTCAAATTCTGCCCTTGTCATGGCCAAACATTAAGAATCAGTAAATCCTAGCCCACAGTACTTGCAAAAAGCAACAAGGCAAAGTTTTAAATCATTGAATATTGACTCATTTTATTAGTCACTTCATAATTTGTTTCAACCAAAAGACAATACACACAGCAGAAGTCTAATGCATCCCATGTAAATGTTTACATCTGTTATGCTCCTCACTCACCTAAGACTTAGCATTTAAATTTTTCACGTCTCAAAAATAGGTCTGCAGAAGTTTGAATACCACCAGGCTCTCTGCTCAAATAGCATGTTTTAACCTTAAATTTAGCTAGGTTTGTTGGGGTTTTGTTTTGAGGTGGGTTTTTTTTTTTGGTAGGGGATTTTTTGTAGATTTTTCCATTTGTGGTGGGTTTGTTTTTTTTTTTTAAACTATAGTGTCAAAGGGGTGCAATGGGGCTCTATGTAAAATGTAAATTACAACATCAAGAAAGAAAAAGGAATATACAGGAATAGACTGAAAGTTCAGAGGGAGGCAGTCCAGTAGCCCTTTCCCTCACAGCCCCCAAGTAGAAAATGAACACATAGAAAGCAAACAAGCAGATCTTAAAAAAGAAAAAAAGAAAAAAGAAGCCATCTTTGCTGCTCCATCTTGCAGCTAGTACCAGCCTTGAGGAAGGCACTAAGTTACCTTTCCTGGCTGTTTCAGCATCTTCCGAGTTATATATCCAAGGTATGGTATAGGTGGCAGTCCCCTCACTGCTATTGCTTCAAAAGGTTGTTCAAGGCCATATTTTGTCCCATCAAAACCTGGACAAAGTCAAATCTTAGGACCTTCCCATGTCTTCACCCCCTTCAGGCCCATTATGGCCACTATTCTTTGCCATTTTTTGACTCAAAATACATTCACTTGAAAAAAGAGACATTCAACCTCTCCCAGCTCCAAAGTCTCCAATGCAGATAGTAAGATTAGCCATGAAGTCTGTATATTGTTCCTTTTATATTCCCCTTACACTAAAGCAAGGAAAATGTTGACCAGACTTGTAAGAATTGTTGCATTTAACTGGTGGAAAAAAGACTCACCCTATCCTCAGAGTGCCTCAGATGTGAGCATGTGAGTACTCTCCAGTGAGAAAACAAAGCAGCAGCACAGAGCTTAAGAGATGCACTTGGGGGTCAAGAAGCAAGCAACGGTATCTAGAATTGCAGATATGGGAACGTGTGAAACCTGGCCCTTCTGGCATCATGTTAGTACCCCATCCCTTAGCAAGGGGAATAGAGCTCAAAGGACAACAGGAACGTTCAGCTGCTACCAAGGAGTACTTCATAGCCAAGGGATGGCTTCAAGCAAAATGCGTTTCAGATATGTGCACCACCTCCTTCAGCTTCACTCAGAAATACGACAACGCACCTACCTCACAAAACACAAACACTCTGTGCAAGGGTGGCTGAGGGAGCCAAGAATATAGTAGGAATTTACCCTACAAGCTTACCAGACAGAGAGTAACAACAAAACCCAGCTGCTCTAGAGGACAGAAAAGTGCAGCAAGAGGGACAATATAAGCTGTTCCCAACTATGCTGCCGCAAACTGGCCAGGTGAGAGATCATTTACTACTTTCTCCCCATCCATATAACTTCCTGCACCAGTACTCTTTCTCAGCAAAAACAAATGGAAATTGAGGTATGCCAGCTTTCAGTACAAGCGACCATGCGCAGTTCTGTCAGGAGAATGGGAGAGCTCATGGGGCACTCAAGAACTAAGACAAAGACTTTCCACTAGCTTTCTATCTGGGACACCCTCAGAGCTCACTGGAGTCCAGATTTAACATGCTCAGCCTTCAACACTGAGGAGTTTGAGCTAGTAGGGTGGTGAGTAGTCACAACTGCAGTGAAAGCAACAAAGGTAAAAGCTCAGCACCTACAAATGGACTTTGATTCAGCCATTTTCTGCAAGACTGCTTCATGATGCTTCTAGCTGAAGCACAGTATCTGTCTCACCACTGATAGCCAAGGCATAAACCTACCAGAACCCAGAATTACTTTTAAGGAAATCATACATCGTTCTTCGAGATTTTATAACCCCATGCTGATGCCAGTTCCAGTAGAATAATAAAGCTCTTAGCTAATCCAAAGGCCCAAACCTGTTTAATCAATAAGGCAGCAAAAGTGCCCTCCAAGAAAAGATAATCAATCTTATTCCACTACACAGACCAGCATCTATGTCAGTGACAGTGAGTCCTACATTATATCACTTAATGCAGTTAAAACCAAAGCAGACTGAACAACCTTCAGTGGCCTCCTGCTCCCGACTCAAGGGCAAAATAGGGCTTCAATTTTCCCTAAGTACACTGTGCGCTACTCTTGCGATGTTTTTGGCAAGGACTGGAGCCTAGTGTTAGCACTTTTGCAGATGCAAAAAGCTGTGTCTAAGCTTGCTGTCAGAGTACTGAATGATCGCTATCTGGGAAGCCCTGTAACAGAAATAAAGCAGATGTGCCATCCATTTCTTTTGAGAAAGCACTGGGTTGGAAGCTGATTTCCCTCAGCTTACCAGCACATTCATGGATGAAGATCTAAGATACATCCTCCCTTCTTTCTCCCTGAAGAGTGCTGAACATCTGAATAGTTTTGTCACACTGTACTTTGTCCTGTGCATAGCCTCCATGAGAATCCATGGAACTGTACCACCTCAACAACAGTTCACACTAGGAAGCATAACTCAACACAGCTTTCTGTAAGCTTAGAAGAGTACTGGACCTCACATCTTCAGATCCAAATACTCAAATGACTAGCTTCCATTCAAAAAACTATTTAGTTACTTTCAGTCTGAACCTGAACTAGCATGTATCTCTTGAAAGGGGAGCAGGGAGCAAACTACAAGGATCAATTAAGTAACAAAATGGGAAAAGGTCTCTTTAAACCGCATGGTCTTTATTTCAGTGCCAATATTACAGATACAACACAAATATCCCAGTCAGAAGTAACTCAAATGGAAGCCAGGGGGTCTAAAACAGGCTCTGGAAATTAAATTGAGGAGAAGGTCTGGAATAACTGGGAAGAGCAACTTTGCAGCATAGTCTCTGATGAGTCTCCCAACAGGAACAGAGCCCTTGCTAAAAGACTGATCTACAAAATTGAATATGTCTTTTCTACCCATAAACCTCAACTAATGGGTTAAAAGGCTTTGAAACCGTCTGTGGTAGAAAACCAGCTGCTCCTTGGAACTCTACATCTCTCATACATCACCACATTTTCTGGGGAAGCTACAGAAAACTGTCTGTGAATCTGCATGCCTGTAGCTATTGATGGAAAGAAAGAAAATTCAAGTGTAAGGTCTTCATTTCCAAGTACAGCACCAAAGCAATTTTATCAACTCGCACCAGCACCTCTTTTCCTGCACTGCCCCATGTTTGCAGATGAACTCCCGAGGCCTAACTTGCTCTTAGTATGTATCACATAACTAAGAGGTGGGTGGATACAATAATGCACTGAATAGGCCATAAGAAGCCTCCAGCCCCTTCAGATATAGGGGACAAAAGAAGAAAGAGGCAGAGCAGCCTGACATTCCGCAAGTCCCCAGTCTGAGCCCCAGATGAAAGTGCCTGAAGGAATCCAGCTAGTAATGAATGACAACATGCCTTGCCCACCCCAGGGGAAAAAAAGACAGCAGAAAGAAAGGGTAGCTGTTCATTTGCTGCAGAGAGAAGAAAATTTCCCTGCTAGAAATTCCAGACTTCTCTTCCAACCAGGCTGTTTCTTTCCAGGGGGACAGAGAGGGAGAAGGGGAGCAGAGAAGGGAATGTTGCTTCTGGCTGTGAATGCATGTGTGAGGGAGTGCACAGAAGCCTCCACAAGCCGCCAGCCTCATCAGCAGAGGAGAGGAGATTAGTCTTAACAGATATGCTTCAAAGTCAGCAATCAATTCAGGAAAATTCCTCCTCATCAGCAGGTCTCATCTGTTCCCCATGCCCATGGTGCAGTTTGGGGGATTGCCAAGGATCACAACCTTCTTCCCAGAGTTCTTTTGATTGGGTAGGGTGAGAAGTAAGAATGGTGCCAGAGCCTCACTGCCAAGACTGAGCAGGGAAGTTGTTGACTTCTGCTAGATCCTGCATTGCTGAGCCCTTGTGATTATACGTCAGCTTGATCCGCATACGTAGTTGTTGCTACAAGAGAAAAGGGAAAAAAAACCAAACACACACAAAACAAATTTAGGTCTTCATTAAAGGTCAGCAAATCCCCCCACATCCAGCTCTCCTCCCTTACCCCATGAATACAAAACATGGACCTTCCCTCACCACAAGAGCTTGCTGGAAGGATGTGCAATGATAGCCATGACACTGCAAATAAATGCTTAATCTGGTAGGACATTAATTAGTCACTGTAGTTCTCAGAAAAGCTATAGCACAGCTTCTACCCACATCTCCCTCTGCACTGGCCCTGCTCTCACAAGCTCTGCAGTCCTTAAATAAGAAACTAACTGCCTTAAAATCCCAGTTAACACTAGAAGAAAGCAGGAGGCAGATCTGGACTCTGCTGCTCTGTACTTTGTCTCACAGGGAGAGGTGTCATTTCCTGTACTAGCTGTTCACTCAAAGTAGAGGTCTGGAAACTTTACATATTGCATAGCTCAGTAGCACTAAGAAGGAAATAGCCTAAGAAAGACTGGAAATAGAGTCTCCAAGAACATTTCCTCCTGCTGTGAGTAAATGATGAAATAGCTCAGAAGTTGTTTTACACTCTGTCATTTTGCTGTCATCCAGATACTGGGCGGCACTTAATAATGGCTAGAGCACAGTATGCTATTCTCCTCACTCTCAAAAAAACTTGTTTCACAAAAACCCTAAAAGGAGAAGCAAAAAGTTGGCTATTTCTGTCTCTTTTGCCCAAACCTACAGAAAAATATGCATAAGGAATAGCAGAGGGAGGAAAGGAAGACAGCTGCTCCAGCCAGCCTCAGGATAAAGAAGCTATGCTTTACCACTAATGGATCAATATAATCAGTGTCAGTTTTTGTTACATTTGGTGTTGTTTTGTGAAATTGGCCATCAGTTTCAATTCAGTATAATGACAGTCCACGTCCAGGTGAACAGACTTTTTTTTTTTTTTTTTTTTTTTTTTACAACACTGACAAGACAAACAGCTATCTCCTAAATAGCAAGGCTGTTCCAAGGTTGCCTCTCTCAGACTATTCCAGAAAAAGCTATACTTTCAGGCAGTAGCAATCTAAAGGACAGTAAGAGACAAAAAAATACCTGAGGTGGAAGACTTGGAAAACAGTGGGCAAAAGAGGGTAGTAAAATACTATTTTGCACCTCTGTATTCTAAAGTGTTCATAGGAGTTCTGGTGTTCCAACAAGAAAGCATCCCACCATCTGAGGTAGATATATTTTGACTTCTGGTACCTTACAGGAAAACTCCTAAACCCTCTCAAGTTCAAAAAACAACTTTCAAGGTGATCTTTGAAAGGTGCTCTCTACAGCACCACAGAGAATTCATATCAGATGTATACAAGACACACAATAATTAGTTCTCTGCCTTAATATAGGCAGAGAGGAGCACACTACATGAAGTGTACCACAACAAGTACGCACTGAAGACAGCCATTTCAGTGAAATCTTGGGGTGAGATTTGAGAATTTTTCTAATTTGCATATCAGTCTAGCTGCAACATTTAACATCTAGAGCAGCATATAAGTGCTTATCTATGAAAAAGTTAAGACATTTTAAGTTCTTGAAGATGTTTAAGATCTCACGGGTGTCCCACAAAGGAAGAAATAAGTGAACTCCATTTTATTTTTCTGTATACTTGCAAAGCCTCTTAAGGAGGACATGGGGGCCACATCCCTCCCTCCCTCCAAGTCTGTTGTATCCCAGCCTTGAAGCCTGTCTCTGAAGGCTATAAAATAAACAGAATTATCATTAAATCACATTGAAAGATTCTTTCCATCAACTGTTTAAAACTATGCTCATCACATTAAAAACAACTGACACTACTTAAGAAAACAGACAATTTTGTTAAGATTAGGGATCAAGCTATTTTTTTGTGTAACAAACATTTCAAGTAATGCTGCTGCAGACAGCAAGAAAAAAAATGTTAAATATAGTTATATGGCAAGATGCTTGCCTTTCAGACATCACTTTTACAACTCATACAAACACCAGCTGGAGCTGCTCTAGAAAGGCCACTAAAAACTTGTTTAACAACCATTCTGATGCAAAAGGCATTAATGAATTCAAGAAGATAGCAAAGCTGTGAATTTGTTTTAGCAGTATAACCAAATAGAAGGCCAAACCTGCACCCAGAACTTCCTGCTTTTTTCATAACTTTTTCCTAACCCTAACCAAAATGACTGTCATTAAAAATACATTATTCACCACAATCACTCCCTGTCTCCCATCAGAGATGCATCCCTAACCGACTGCCACTAAATGCATGATTCCAACACAAGATCTTTAATAACTGTTCTCGGAGTCACTCACCTTTTGTGGATTCAGGACTTTAATGACCTGTGTGATGGTCCCCGAGTTAAATGCAGGGATGACACTGCTGCTAGGAGACAGGAGCTGCAGCTGGAATGTCTGAAGAAAGGGCAAAGAGAAAACAATTTGATGCCTAATCAAGTAAGAACATAAAGTGATTTGTTTGCACTGAGAAAAAACAAGGAAAATTCAGAACAAGTTCACTTCCTGGCCCTGACAGTATATGTACAGCCACAATAAAGTAAAATAATAATTTCTTCAATTTTCTATCTGTAAAGAACAAAACATTCACTGGCCCACCTGCTTTCTATACAAGTAGGATCCAGGTAGCATAAATATTAGGGGGTGAAGGCTTACGGTAGCGTATCAAGAACAGCAGTGATGCTTTGTTTCAAGTGTTACATGCAGAGGAACAGTCAAAACCGCTCAACACACCTCTAATTTCAGGAAGCCCATTCTTCCCCTAATTCCTCCCTACAGGGGGTATAAAATCTATCCAAGTTAAAGTTAGAGCATTACCAATTCACAAAAGTGAACTCCCAGAAGTGAATGTATTTTTCCAAACTTGAAGAATATTCCAATCACCCTCTGCTTAAACGGTCTGCTTTGCTATAAACTAGGCAACATCTGTCTCCCATATTTTGTGCTGCAGCTAAGTGCAAGGAGATACAATTCACTGCTTAGAGGAGTGTCACTAATCACCATCTGGGGACTCATTTAAACACTTATAAGCAACTAATAACTTCAAAATATTTTTTCAAGTATTCATAAGCATCTGAAAAAGGCAACAAAGCTGCTGAAGGGTCCAGAGCGCAAATCTTATGAGGAGTGGCTGAGGAAACCGGGATTGTTTAGTTTGGAGAAAAGGAGGCTGAGGGGAGACCTTATTCACTCTCTACAACTACCTAAAAGGAAGGTGTAGCATGGTGGGGGGGGGCTGTCTCTTCTCCCAAGTAACAGGCCACAGGAAAAGAGGAAACAGCCTCAAGTTGCTCCAGGGGAGGTTTAGATTGCATATTAGGAAAAAAATTTCTTCACCAAAAATCATTGTTAAGCATTGGAACAGGCTGCCCAGGGAAGTGGTGGAGTCCCCATCCCTGGAGGTATTTAAAAGACATGCAGATGTGGTGCCTAGGGACATGGTTCAGAGAAACAGCTCTTAGCCTTGTTTACTATGCTGCAAGTTTCTGTCTACATGAAAGCACTGATGAGGAAGCATTTGCAGCTGGCCCTCAACCTATCACTGTTGTTGCACTAAGTGGCTCTACCTTTGGTACTGCAGCTTGGAAAACAAAATCTGTCATATCCAGCTCTGTGCTGTTGGAGGCCTGTATCGTGATTACAGTGATGCTAGGATTGGTGTTTGACCTCTCAAAGGTGAAGTCAATCTTCAGCCCATTCTTGTTGTATGCAGTAATTGAAGGGATTCCTGCAGAAAACAAAAAAGCAGCAGACCTACACAATCTGGAGATGATTCTCAGCACCACAGAACACATTTACTTTACCCCAGACATTAACTCTTCTGAAGATTAAACACACCCCCTCCTCCTGCTCCAGTGTCTGTGCCACACTTCACTCCCAAATCCCACTTCCCCCCCAAATCCCCCCCCCTTTTTTTTTTTTTTTACTACCCCTCGTTTCCTCTTCTAGTTGGGTGTTTGTGGCACCTGAGGCTAAGGATATACATGTCCCTAACCTGCAGCAATATCATTGAAGAGAGGCTGTGATGAAAGTCCATCAAGCAGGAACGGAGACTGTGCTATCTGGGACGCAGGGGCAGATACTGGAGAACCTACAAGAAACGTTAAAGGATTATCACTTAGCTGTCATGAACTGAAGAGTAATTACTCCTTCTCCAAAGATTAACTGCTGCATATCATATTTCTTTACATGAAGCACTACAAGTCATCTGTGTTGTCATCCTCCCCTTCTCTGCTTTCACTAGCAAGGACTGGCTCCTCCTGGGCTAGGAGGCATTCAAATGGAATGAATTCCTCACATCTCCCAATCCTCTCTGGAAGGGCTCACAGCATTCCCAGGCTGGAGTATGAAAATGCTCAAGTCTCACCAGCTAATCATGTAGAGTCAACCTGTAACTTCATTCCCTGACTCCCACCTGTATGATAATATTGATCTTGGTAAGAATAAGTGTGAAAAAAGTGAAGAACTAGCCAGCCCTCATCCCACCCCAAGACTGAGAATGTAAACTTTTAAGAGATACAGCCTGCTCACCTGTTAGGTTGAGGTCTCCCAGGAGGTCAAGGAGCTCCCCACCAGCAGAGGCTGGCTTGCTTGTAGGTGCAGTGGGGATTACAGGTGTTATATCACTTCCCCCCAACAAGTCCAACAAATCATTTGCCTAATGAGAGAGCAAACTTAATACATATTCAAAATCCTGCTACTTTCCCTTGCAGATGTAATGGATTCTACTTGCTCTCAGATTGAAGACCAAAAGATCTGCTGGCTAGCCTCAGAGGTTCTTGGTTTGGCTATGGTCCCATGCTCAGTTTCCACACACTTGGGTCCACATAGATAGAGAAGGGTGGAGTTCATGCACACTGAGACAGGTTGGGGGAATAGATAGCTTTACCCTCACCCTGCTCTTGCACTTCCCCACAATGACCTCTTCCACTGTTCTTGACACTAGACCCATCAGAGCTCAGAGATGATGCAATCATTACCAGGCCAGAACTAGCAAAGAGGCACAGAGGGGGAGGGAGATGGTCTCAGCTTACTGTTGACAGTGGCTAGAAGCGTGCTCTGACAGGCAGTGGAAACTTATCCTAGATCAGTTTCTATTACCTGGCTAGCAGGCTGCAATCCAGAGGGTGGAGGTTTGGTTTCCAGTACCGCTGGCTCTGTCTCTCCATTGGTCTGTACAATCTCAGTAGGGCCATTTGTGATGATTTTCTCCATGACTGGCATTCTCTCAAGCAGGGCTGGCCTGAAAGAAGCTGACATAGTTACACTGTGCCATCTTCCTGGATCCCAATCCAAACACTCAAGACATTCAGGAGATTATATACACCGGGCAATCTGCCTTTTCCTTTTAGCTCCAATGCAGAGGAACTGTAAGATTACGTGACAGCTTGAGGTGGTCAGAAGCAATCCCTGGCATGCTGTGCCAATATAGATACATTAATTGACAGCTGAAAGCCAAACAAGCCCTCCTGCCTCCTGTTTTCCCCTAGTACTTGACACAGTTTCCACTGTGGGGCTAGGATAACAAACCCAAGACAAAGGTTAAATAACTGAGCAACGGTGGATTAACTGCAGACATGGGACACTTGACTGTTCTGTTCCATATGCAGTTGAGTCAGAGATTCAGCTCATTTGACTTCTCTTAGCAGAACAGTTAACAACTTAGAACATGTGACAAAGTTGGAAAAGCAAATCACCATGCTTTCATCTAGCCAAATTATGTTTCCAAAGAGATTAAGTTCAGTCCTTGAGAGTACCCTCCTGAAATGATACAGAGACTGAAGAAAAGGCACAGGACCTGGAATCTTGACATCAAAACAAAAAACTAGGAAAACCTGTATAGCGAGAACTAGTCTGCAATACAAGAAAGCCCACTGCCCCTACAGATCAAGGCATAAAGCACTGCATGTAATAGGGGTAAGTCACACTGTTTACACATCTCTTGGGCTGAAAAATGTGTTTGTGACAACAAATTCAACAATAGGCCACATTTTTGACCATGAACAAAGTCTTAATGAACAGAAACTATTAAACATTGACCTTTGCACTGTAATGAACACCCGAATATACTGGAGGAAAAAAAATACAGATGCTCTCTTGTATAACTGAATGAAGTTCACATATGTTTTTCTGAAGTGCAACACTTCTCAAAACTATGAATAGCATACACTGCCATCTGGTCAAAAGCCAGCTGATCGTCAGACACTGTTGTCTGCAATGGTCAACTCGGATCAAAAGCCTCGTATGACAGATTTTTCTCAACTCATTCATAAGGCTTCGTGTGAAGCCCCTAGGCACCTCACATGCTTCAACTCATTAACATTACTTTTCCAAGAAAAATCTGAGCTGCTACATGGATCCCACAGGAGGAGAGAAAAGAAGAAATCACAAGGATGAGTCTTACACAGAATGAATAGGAAAAAAGCGATTACAAAGAGCCTTTGAAATAAGGTTTGGAGACCCCTACAAACAAAGGCAATATTTAGTCCGGTGGCACCCATTTTCTCTCTGTCCTCTCATCTAGACTCTAAAATAGATGCTCCTCCATCCAATGGAATCTTGTATAAAGTTTTCAAGGTTGGATGAAATTAACCCCCAGACGATCTCCTCCAGTTTTATGATCCTCATTGAAGAGAATCTGCAGTGCTCCTATGTATCAACAATTAACTTTTGCACATAGCAGATAAACTATTCTGCAAAGAATTACAGCTTTAGTTATTGCAACAAAGCAGGGTTTTAACTTTCTCATAAAGAAACAGTCACTTGAGCAAAGTAATGATGAAGGGGGATCTTTCAATGATAAGATGTAAGGAAGTTAACGTGCTCATGAGTTGTAAAACAGGGATGCTGAGTGGTGCAGTGAAATAGCACGCCTTTGCATGCAGAATTGGAGATTTTAAATTGATTCTACAAGAAGATACAGTAAATTAAAAAGATGCTCTGAAAAACTGAAAAGTATTAACAGCTGGAAGAATTACCTCAAGTTCAGAGCACAGGTCTCTGCACATTTATTCCAAAGACATTTTAAAATTAGTTCGAACCTAATGACTGTGGTAATACCAGCATGGTAAAAGCTACCTACAGACACTTACTCAGCAAATTTAAGATTCAACACCTACAAGTAAAAATTAGCCAAGCTCAAGCTCAAAGCAGTGCAAATGTTTTGGCAGAGAAATTCTCTGATCACAGAACAATCTCACAGGATATGTGAGGTTCTTAAAACACTCACTAACCCTACAGATGAGGGAGGGACTCTAGTTCCTCTGCAATCCTACCAAAATCACCAGACAAAGCTCTCAAAGCACAAAGTACACAGGAGATCAGAGAACAGATCATCATAACAATTCTCTTCAAACACCAAAACTCATCAGCACTTACCTCATGTGATCATATTTCTTGAAAAGTGCATTATATTCCACTGCCCTCTGCTGTAGCTCCACATCAATGCTGCTGCCATAAATGGAAACTACCTTCTTAATGCGACTGTGTGGGGGCAAGGGAGAAACAAAAAAAACCACACCTTGTAATGAGCAGCAATAAATAAGGGATTAGCATGTGTCATCCAGAAGACACTACTACCTGGCCTCTGCTCAACAAGTGATCTGTGTAACTTTTTAAAAACGGTAGTCACTGCTGTTTTCCTGCAGTATCTACGCAACATCCATTTTTGAACTGTCCCTTCACAACAGCATCAACAGGTAATTAATATACCACACAAGATATATCATCAGAAAGCTCAGCTACCCACATCAAGAAGTCGTCAGTCAGAAACAAGGCTATTTTTCTTGCCACCATCTGAAAAAGGAACTGGAAAGAAAAGTCCACTGAAAGTAAGGACTTATCTTCCCCATAAAAGACTTTTTGAGCAACATCACCACGTATTAAGTCCCTACACAGTAGAGGACATCCACAAATAAAACACTACAAATCAGTGGAAGTCTTCCACCCTGCAAGCAAAGGAAGACTGTAAAGGCCAACAAATAACAACATGACTCTTGTAAACCATGGAAGCAGAACATGTCCAAGGAATACTTCTACTGAAGACAACTGATGCCAATATATTTGCAACAAAGCCCTGTGCAGCAAAACATCAATGAGAACTCACTTGACAGTGCAGGTGAACCTTGTGGAAAGCTTCATGATGGCAGTGAGAGCGTAGCCTCGTGTAACAGATGCAGACATATTAGATATCAAGACGCTTTCTAAAATATCAAGAACTTCATCCTCTGTTACCTGAAAATGTACAGAAAGGTTAGGCCAAGACAGAGAGAAACACTGCAGCAAGCCTTCCAGGGCACACTGTAAAAACCCACCTCTTGCTCAATGGCCATATCATACCTCCCCTGCAACTCTGTCACCCTATGGCACATGGTCAGCATCTATGAGGCCGATGCATCTAAGTGGAGATCTTATGATACTAATTTTACGATACAGTTCCTGTTCAACACATTGAAGAGCAGGTTTATCACCAAAATACACAGCTAAGACCCTAGCAGACACCCTGCAAGCTAGGTTAGCGCTGAAACCACACCACTCTGCCAACTGTAGCTGCACTATTCACAGTGAATGTTTATGCAGCTCATGCCTGTAGCACGGGTAGAAGATTCCTGTCCAGGGTCTGTCACCGTCATAGACACCAGTGCTAAGTAACTGTTGCAAGCATTCCCTTCATCCAGCCAGCATCAAGCAGCTTTCAGCCTCAGCCTGGTACACAGCTGTTGGGCTTTCCCAAGCTATACCTGTATTGGTTCCTCCTCTTCACACTGACCAGACACCAGAAGATCTCCATACTCTCCTATGCACCAAGAGGCCACTTGCACCAGGGGCTGCTGTTAGAAGAAAAATCAGATGCCTCAGAGATAAGTGGATTCCTGTATGACAAGTCAAGCCATCACCATTTCCCAGAGCAAGTTTAGCTCTCCTTCCAGCCAAGGAAATTCTCCACAGCAGAAGAAACAGCAATATTTGATTCAATAAAGAATTCCTTAAGAGAATTAAAGAAAATAAAAAGAACATGAACTTATAGGAGACATGCCTCCTCTGCAATCTGTCTGTTGGAGCTAGACAGTGTGATGTTGACTTACCCTGAGATGCTTAGTAAACATGTTATTGCAATACAACAAGGAAACTGAAGCTGGCTATGTTTGGTATTACCTGGGAGTAATCACCGAGGATGGCTTTGTAGAGTCTCTGCACAGTGTAGGCATGCATCTCCACACTATTAGTTATTAGCTGAATCAGATTGGGAACAGCATCATCACGAACATAACTTCCTGCCTGCAAGAACAATTGCGTATACAAGAGACAAATAAAAGTCGTTCGGTTTCACTATCTGACTTCATGGTAACACCCAGCATCTGCTGATATCCTTCATAAAGCCACCTGATGTGCATGGAAATAAAAATCAACCTCCCCAGCCCCAGGCACTTTACGGTTGATTTTGAGCAGATTCAGAGGGGTACAAGTACAGGACAGTACGTTTTCCCAATGAACTCAACTATTCCCAGAGAAATCCATAGTATAGATATCCTCAAACTGTCAAGAGGATACAGTATGGACGTAAGAAGATTGTGCTACAGAAGGAATAAAAAGCAACCCAGAAAACTGCTCCGTTAAATGGAAGGCTTTAAGCCAAAGACACTCTAGGGGCAGAAGACGGCTTATTTAATTGCTTGTTCAAAGCCAGGCTCTATGCCAAATAAGTACAGGACCCAAGAACTTGCCGGCGTATCACTTTTTGGTTAAGAGGATAGGAACATGGAGCTCAGAGGGAAAAGCCCACTTTAAGGCCAGGAAAGTATGTAGGACAATACACAATCACACAGCTTTGGCACTGAAGGGAAGATGTATACTGTTCAAAACCTGTTCTGTTTAGGCACTCCTCTGGCACTGAGAGCAGAGTGTGAAAAAAGAAGGAGATTGAGTGAGTCCAATTAGGTCAACTAAGCAAGAATCCATCTAGCCAAAGACGAGTGACGCCATCTTTCTGTGTTAGTTCTCAGAAGTCTGCTAAACTGAAAAGGCTGTTTATCTGTAAGAGTCTGCAGTAGGTAGACTCATGAATACAGCTTTATAAATGGTTTCTTTAGCAGCCAAGTTACTTTAGGAAGTTACTTTATTGAAGGAAGTAATCTGAGAGCAATTCTCACAGCCAGCCTTCTAATGGAAATCAGTTCTCAGCTCAGAGGAATCTACTTTTCTCTTTTTCAGGGTGGCAAAAGAGCACACAAGTCAGACTCGCTTCTTGATGAACTTCTCAAGTTTGAACACTCATACTCACAAAATAAGTCTCTTCCCACTCCTTTGCCTCAGGGAACACACTGCCTACCCAAGTTATATCAAGATCTCTTCCCTCTTGTTTCCCAAAACATTACTCCAGTTCCACCTCAAGCTGTGATATTTATAAAGAAATTAATGTAGGTAAAGAGTAATAATTAAACCCAAAGAAGAGGAATCAGGAAGCTGCTGATACACTTTGATATACTCAACTTAATTCCAAGAAATTGTTTCACTGCCTTTCTCTTTTCAAGTCATTTAGGCTGTGTTCACTCTCTCCTGAAAGCACTGTATATTGGAATAACAGACAGCACAAGAGCTGTCCAAACTTAGAAGCTAATGTGATTACTGCAGTAGAAAAACTGCTACACGTTATTCTTGCGTGTCTCTGAAATAATGCATTTCTTCTAAAAAAACCCCACTCAATCACATTTACTGAGTTTATTTATTTCTGACTGGCTGCCTCGGGTCACTACCATGTAAGTAGACCTCCCTGTATATTGTAGCATTTGTTATCTGCCAGCCTTTATAGCCATCTCCAACTTGATGATGAGTAACTTCCTAGAGAATTAAAAAAAATTTATCAAGCCACACATAAGAGAGGCAATCTCACTTACCGTTGTTAAGACTCTCATAATTGTGTCTATGTGCCAGCGTTTGGAAGGAGCGTATCTGACAAAATTAAGAAAACAAATTAGAGCAGTAACTGCTAGTCTTCAACACCAGCAAGAAACACATCATCATCAGAACCTCCTCATTCAGTTACCTCCTGGCCCGCTGTTTCCTAAGGGGAGGACACTAACAAAATACACACCCAAAACCCCACCAAAATAAAACACCACACACTTCACATTCTTTGACTTTTTTGTACTAATGCCACCATCAGAAAGCTGAATGAATATACGAGTCTGTATAATACAGCACAGCTATACCTTGCATATACAATACTTCAAAGTCAGGCTGTTGATTACAATGGCTCAACAGTAATGATATAATCTCACTTGTACAACTAACCAGAGAGAATCTCTGTGTGGAGAGGAGACAGGGCCTGGGTGTCAGCACAACAGCCGTTCCAAAGTGTAGCAGAAATCAATATACTAGACCGGCTTAGTGATATGAGGACTATCCATATGGGACACACTAGTATGTTCTGTTCCTCAAAATGGGTGAAAACTGACAAACCACACACACAGATCAGCAAATGGAGAGATGATCAACATATTCTTTCTTGGGTGGTTAGGAGCAACACACAAAATACTCAAAATTCCAAGTATGTACAAAAAATTAACGGTCAATCAACCCCATACTTTTCAGCTGCAAGAAATATTCCAGATGCACAGTCTGCCTTGAACTCTGGTTCACAGGAATCTAGGAAATACAGCAACTCCTTCATCATTCCACGGACATTGTTCCCATTAACAAGAGCAAAACTCAGTTCCATTGCACGCCTAGGGCAAGAGACAGAAAACCAATAAAGTATCTTCACCTAGTGAAGTAAAGAAACAAAAAATCAAGTTCAGCTACTCAAGTGCACTTACCTTTTAACTAATAAGAGAGCAACATTTATTAATCCTGCAAGAACAGCCTTCCACATTAAACGTACCAGTATTTTCCTGTTAGTGAGCAGATAATAAATACCCACTCCTCAAAAACACTAAGGGGAAGTAGGAGTGTGGGGTGTTCTAGAAACACCTATGCAGATGTCCTAGAGGCTAGAAATATCTTTCAGCAACCAGAGTCCATCAGCATTAAGGTCTGACTGTCCAAGTGTTTGTTACTGCATGCTGGTAATTTCTGACACACAACTGCTACAACAAGTGTTCTCCAGCTTCAGGGATCCAGAACATACCTGTTTTCATCTCCATATATTAGAGATTCAAACAGAGATTTAAATTAACTGATAAGCTTTATTGCATCCTGTCAGATAGACTACATAAGATTTCCAGAAACCAAAATTACCCTGGTGCTCTTTTCAAAACTCATTCCTCCCCCTTCCACAAATTGACATCACAACTAGACCAAGTACTGGCTCTTTGCTATTCCTTCTTTTATAGAGAGGTCAGAGGCTAGTCCTTAGCCCTCCTACTCAAAGCTTCCATAGTTGATTCTAGCACAGCTCTCCCGTTCTTCTGACGTTTTTTGAATGAAAACTATTACCTTCAAATGCAATTGATTCCCATACAATGTCGGCAATTAGTTATGTTAAAATGCATTAAAACAATACATTAAAACAGTCTCACTAGATAACCCTGACTATTCTTTAAAATTGAGCATTTGGTGTAATCCAGAACCCCAGCCTCCAAGTTGTGTCCTCTTCATGCCATCAGGAACTTCAAACTCTGCCTGTCACTGAGATAGCCTACTAGAAGACAAGAAAGATCTTCACAGCACATCAAAAACTTCCTCCTCCATTTCATATCTTTTGAAATCATCTGGATAGTTGCTGAACTACTTCATGTGTACAATGATTTTGTACTGCTTGCTCTGCAACAGATTACGTCCAAAATTCCATCAAAAGGCCTAAGGTCTACTTTGTAATACTTTATTCAAATAGATCAGACTTCAATGTGTGTTTAACTCTAGCAATTTTCATTAAAATCATAATGTTGAGATGTATGAGTTATGCTGCCATCTTTTCATATATTTACTAGCAGCAAACCCATGAGCAGTCCCACTGATTCTGTCTTGCTCCAGTGTCACGCTTGCCAACCTACCACTATGCGGACACAGTTATTTTTTTTGATCACTTAGTATTTTCCCCATGTTCATGAAACATCAGCAACTTAGACCAGTCATATTACCCAATCCAATTGTATATGGCACAACCTATTTGTTCTCAAGGATCTGAAAACAACTGGACAGCACTACTTCTCAACATCTCCCTAGTTATTACTGAAATAAGAAGGATTTTTATAGAATTGTGAACTGTAAATGTGTTATTTTACTTTTTACCAACTAATACTCAGGGACCTAGAAAACACAGAGGTGTTCAGAATTAGGGTGGAAATACATAACTAAATTGTTACATTTTATCATCTATATCTGTGGCTTGTTGGAGATCTATATCATTATTTGATTTGTCCTCACCCCTCCAATTAGTTCCCAACTCCTTACACCTAACCCTACTGGCTTATACGTTTTCCATATTTATATTTAACTTTTCAGTCACATTATAGCAGATATATCAATACTGCAGGTGCACAGAGGTACTCTGCAATCTTAATACCAGGGATTTATCTCAACACGTATTGCTTACCTTCAATCATATTACACGGCTCATTTCTGTCATGAGGTTCCTAAGCATGTAGTTTGATCATATTAAGCAGACAGACAAAAAGACTTGAATTAAATGGAAAAGCCATTCTGAATTATACTACATGGACCAAAGATGCACTGCAGCAGTTTAAAGATGATGAGAACAGGTCATGCTTCAGATAACCAAAATCAGTTATCGTGTCTTCCCCTCAAGTCCCAGCCCTTCAAACTTGCTACCTGAGGACTCTTGGCTTCCCGTCAATGTATTGCTTCAATGAAGACAGTGCACTGTCAGCAGCATGAGTGTCAGCACGGCAATATCATGCTCTGCTGATGGATCACTCAAAGGCTTCATCCTCCAACAGCACTTAGACATGAAGCTCTGTCATTTGTAGCACACCTGTTTTCCTAGCAGGCACCAATAAAATGCTTTTCTTGCCTTCTATCCAAAACCTAGATGGGGCTTGCCACAACCGAGCCTCATGCTGGCTCTAGAACCAAACAGTAACAGCAGCCTGACTTCCTCAGCATATGAGATTCAAATCTGTGTTTTGGGACAGATTGCAACTGTAAAAATACATTACGTGATGCCCATTATATAACAGTTAAAACTAAGTTTCAGAAGTGAGACAGATCCAATTTCTTTCCTATTCTGTATATATTAGAACAAGAAGTGCTGTTAAAAATCTGTATCTGATTCAAAGATGGGCATAAATTTTAAGAATGCCTGTCAGAACGAGTACCTATGACCTATCTAATCAATTTGACAACATGGAAAGAAGAGGTTGAGCAATTTCAAAAGTATATTAATGATGTGATGAGAGCTCAATGAAATTCTGGCCTGCAGCAGACAGATTCCACAAGAAGCAACAGGGATGCAATTGCCCCCATCACTGACATGTCATATGCTGCACTAAGCTCAGATCACCAGTTACAGACAGAATAACAATGAGGAAGAGAGTTCTGAAAGAAAGAGCAAGTAATTGACAGGCTGAAAGACTTGATTTAGAAAAGCAGTATTCCACATAGGTTGGGCAAAAGTGAAATCAAACAATTCAAGAGTATCTACGAGTGCCTGAAACAGGAGAAAGTTACTTTCATGAGGAAGAACATCATAACTGAAGTAATGAGAAGAAACAGTAGAGGAAGTTTAGACTTAGTATCAGAAAAGTCTTCCTGTCGTGAGAAGTAAGGTTGCAAGCTCTCCCATTGCCCAGAGAAGTAGCAACATACCACTACTTAAAATGACAAACGAACACCAAGGATGCATAATAGGATGTGGTTTGTAAGCAAATTAATTGAACCAATTCTACCAATTTCTGCCTAATCAAATTAGCTTAACACTGCTTCAAGACAACATGGCACTGCCTGTTCATCTGGGAAAGACAAGCAATACAGAGCATATCAGAGTAGCTTTGATTATGATCATACTTTATGAAGGCTTTCCATCTTGTTGTGAGCACACAATCTGATTTCTATTGATTCAATTTTGGAAAACTTCAAGCAAAACAGAAAAACCTCTTTTTCCAATCCAAAATACATAAAGTGTAAAAGCAGCTTCCCAAAGGAGGAACCATACTATGCATTCATACTCATCTCACTCACAGTTCCCCGAGATTATTGTCATTTTCCCCTATGCCCTGCTCACTTTCCATGGGCTGTCAACCTTCACAGTTTATTTCACTGATATTTCAGTTACCTCTTAATGGAGACATCCAGATCCTTCAGGCAGTCCACAATCGTGCTTCTATGCCGCTGAACTGCATTATGGTCTGTCTGCACAGTTTTCAACAATGATGTCAAAGCTACATATCTGAGATAAGGACATATGATATTAAACAGTTGACGGTAGGCATCTAATTTCTACACACAGACCCTCATATCCCACAAAACTTAGTCTTATTTTGCAACGGAACAGGGTTCTCTTGTACTCAGTAGTGAATGGAAATCTTCCGGGGGACTGCATGGCTTGTCTTCAAAGATGATTTACCATTCTAAACTGTAACAAGCCTAACATCATCCTGCTGCCTGGACAAGCACGTCATCCAGTTCCTGGGCTCACGGTCAGCTGTCCATTCTTCATAAAGATTTTGAAAAGACAAGGCAATTAAAGATTAGACCTCCGCAGATTGTATACCCAAACTGGCGTGACTTGCAATTCCCAAGGTTAGAATCTTCTACCTACACCATGATTTGCAATCAAAATGCCTAGAGATGTGACTTAATTCTAGCAGGTGCAGCAATTCCATGTCCAGATTCATAGTGACTAAAGCACAACCAAACTTCCTTGTTGCCAACAGCACACAATCAGAAAAACCAGTGCTCGTGAAATTTGTCAGATCTCCAATGCAAACTCTGATGTGGATGTCACCACAGACCGGTTGGGACAAGACAGGAGATTCACAGGTTACAGGAGAAAACAATTGACTAGATTAAGAATTCACATGTTAAGAACTAGATTATACACCCAGAGTCATCAACTGAGAAAGGCGGGGCCACAGTTAAAATTTTCACAGAGAAAAGAATGCACCTAGAAAGAAGGAAGCTAGACAGTCACACTAACCCCAACAACAGTACTTCCTAATACTATCCCCTGGAAAGCCCTGCTTCAGCATTATCTTTGTGTAATTGCTTCTCACACATTTTAAACTGACTGTTGCCAAAACGCCAACACATCCAAAACAGATCCCCTTCATACAACTTACCGAATATTTTTGTCGTTGTTTAGTAAGAAACGGCCTAGGATGTTAATGGCTAACACCTGCAGAAAGAGTTAGGGAAGGTCAGCGATCAAAAAAGGCTGAAGGTTATCTTCATTGTTTCAAGATTATTTTAAAAGCAATGTGTCAAAGCTACCATTGCAGGTCTTGGCCAAAAGCATAACAAAGAACTCTAGAAGGTGACTAAGCAGAGAAAAAGCTAAGACAAACACAGCACAAGCTCTCTCCTGCACTCAAGGGAACACAGTCTGCAGGAAGTTTTGCTTTTTAATTTTTGTTATTTTTTTAAAAAAACAGAAACATAACTTTCTGAAGAGGCTACAGTCCTATCTAGAGCCAACCGTGGAGTTATGTTTGAGTGAAACAACTTTACTTCGTGTCCTCTACGCAAAATACTCTAATACAAGCATAGAAAATAAAAAGGCCATAGCAAAGGCAACTTACCCTCAGTCCACTCTCAGATTTTATGTCCATAATAGTCAGCACGGTTTCATAGAGAATAGCATTTCCCACATTTTTACTTGTTTCTGTATTAGTGGCAACCTGGAGAAATGAAACAAAATAAGAAACGCCAACACATCCAAAACAGATCCCCTTTGTGCTGTTCTAGAACAGGCAGTGAAACTAACCAATCCCTAGCAAACAAGCAACACACCTATGAACATGTATCTCTTGCAGTAAAACTCAATCCAGCATAGCAACCAGTTGTAACCTCACCAGTGCTACTGAATCCCAATTATTAAAAAAAAAAAAAAATCAAAAGAGAAAGTTCAAGCTGCTCATCAACCTTGCAGACCTCACCTGTGCAAGTATATCATTCATTGCTTCACTAGAATCATCATCATTTCGCCCTAAAATTCTTAGTAACCGCAGGATTCGTACCTATTTGACAAAATAAAGCAAAGAAAACCTCATTGAATGGCAGTGTTTACATGGGGGCAGTGGAATGGCCAGTACACTTCCTGAAGAGGGGCAAAGAAGCAAAACAAACTGTTGATTTCTATTCCTATGCAAAATGCTCCTTAATAAGACCTTTACCAACAAGAAGCAGCTTATGCTGTGCTCATCTTCTTCCCACTAGCCAGACCTGTTGAAAAGTACCCTCATTATACAGTAGGCCCAGCCTTGCAAGGCCAACACGTGTTGCTGCTTCTCCCTTTTGTCACAACTTCACATAATATCATAAGGCACTACAACTGCTGTTCATTAAGGCAGACGAAGAGCATCTGCACAAACAGTTCTAACAAAGACACAAAATCTTAAAATCAACACAGCTGCCCTGAGGTAACCACCTCATCATACCCAAGTCTCAAAACACAGTACTAGAATTAAAGCTACACATCATGGTTTGCATCAGTTCTTACCTGCAAAAAGGGGTCACTGATCCCAGACACATCATGCTCTGGTGAATATCCAGACATGATAAGATTCTTCAGTATACGAACTAACTGGGGAACAAGCTGTGAAGAAGAGAGTTGTCCTATTAGGGTGTTGTTCCTTCCCTCCCAGCCTTGAAGTACAGGTCCAAGAACAAATCTTGCGTTTGAAACTCAGTCTATGGATTCTTCCAAAGTTCAACCTGCACATTCTAGAGCTGATGTTATATGAATACCTACAGCTTAGCTAGGGCACAACTAGAAACTTTTAAGTTGGGACCTGAGCACCATATTGTATCTTTAAAGTACTAAATCTACCAGAGCTTAGCACTTGAGACCTGAGAGAAAATACCAACTTAAATTCCTCTCTTCATGAAAAGGGGATGAGCTGGGACTATTAAAATGGTGTAATTCCAAGACTTCACTTGGGGGCTTTACATCAGCTCCCAATTTATTTTTAGCATACATCTCCATGGAAGCATCAGGCATAAGAGTTTTGATCTTTTCAAGTACTGTACTGTTATGATTAGAGTAAATTAGTAAGAATTCCTTCAAGTTTGACACTCCATCCAACTTAGCTTACAGAAAGAAAAGCTTTATGATCTGCTTCCTCTCCAAGAGTTTCCAAATAGGTCAAAGAATAGATTTCCCTCTCGCCTTCCCCCAAGGCTCTAATGTTAGACTACTACCTCCCTGCGAGTAGCTCCAGGGTCTACTCTCCTCCTCTTCATTCCAAACTTCTGTGCAAGAGCAGCAACACTTAACTGGCCAAATTCTTTGCTTCACTGTTAGCAGGGTTCTGCATCACAGCAGAGAAACTGACGGAAGCACTGCTACTATGCCAGACTCGGGAGCACAAAATCCTTATCAACTTACACTGTTCAGATTCCTCAGATATTGATGGCCCTGGTCCCCCAGTAGACATTTACCCATAGGAATAAGTTATCTTTCAAGACTTGTACACAGCTTTGAAGAAATGCTACCTGTGTGCAAAAGTTTGGTTCAGCTCCCTCCACCTTAGGCATCTCTAGTGATGCACTTCATCTGTTACGGCATCTCTGAGAAACTGTAATAGAATTCTTCCATAGTATCTCACACATGCTGAGCCAGACATCAGTTCAGGGCAGAATGTGGCAAATAAGATAATCATTAAAGTGGATAAGCTATAACAAACTTACTATTTATCTCCAAAAACCTTCATAGCAGCTATGAGTAACAAAATAGTCCCAGGGATGGAAGGGAAGCTTATTTCCAACACATCCTATGAAAAATCTTAAGGTTGAAAGACAGAAACTGGACAAATTTTAACTGAACTGTAAGAGAAAAACCACTCCTGGTGGATGATGCAGAGATGAATATCTCTACAGGGTTTATTCCTTCCATATAAAGTTTCTTTTCTCCCTCTCAGTGGATATTATTAAAATAGTCCAGACACTGGTTGGACATGGGGTAGCAAACTAGACAGAGGTGTTATGGTGGCTACACTAAGTGAATTTTTCATTCCTGAAGCATGTTAGCACCAGCACAGCATCATTCTTTCTCTCAACTCCATGCATGACAATTACGGTTTATCAAAATGTTCTCCACAAAACCCTTCAAAATTATTCGCCCATAAGACTTAATAAATTTTGCTGTCCCTGAATGCTGGACTGTTCCTGCATTCATATATGCCTACTGTGAGTCAGGGGTTGCATTCACACTAAATTTTACCAGGTTAGGAGTTTCCTTATAGTAAAGTTGCCACTTCTGACAACATCAAATCAAGATGGTGCTTCAGATTCAGCACAGATAGTAGCAGAAGATGCCAAATGCTCAGTGTGACTAACAGAGCACAACAGCTGCATGTGGACATACTAAACGGGCAGTGTTTTCTGGACTAAAGTCCTGTACATTCATGGTACAGTGCAAGAAGAAAACCAGCTGAGTTTCCCCACCATCTCTTTTTATTCCTACCTTCACTCTTCAGGAATTACACACTCCTCCAAAAATGTGCATTTCATAAAACACACAAACAAAAGGAACCATGACTTGCTATTATCTACCTTACAGAGAAACCAAAGGATGCTGCAACACCTTCCCTCAAGACAGAGTAACAGACAAGGGGAGTGACCTGCTGGAGCATTCCTGGAAGCCTGATTAACATTTTCTTTGACTTCTAACATGCAAGAATTATCAGGACTGAAGACAAGACAAACAAAGGGAAACATTACAGCCATGGAGATCGGTTGAGGGCCATCCCCCCCAGTCTTCTGAAGTCAAACTACACCCATGAAAAATATCAGCAATGCAGCTGTACTCAGTAGCCCTTTGCAGCACAGTAAGGTCACTTACAGGCAACTAAGTAACTGTCTCTCCTGCTCCCTTTTGGGAATCACCCAAAGTTGCCCCGTGATTCAGGGATAACACAAAGCCCAGTTTATGATAAGAAGAAAGCCCAGGGCTATATTTTGCATAAGCACAAAATAATTCCCTAGAGTATTCCTCAAATGAGAGAGAGTTTGAGGAAGGCAGGCTCATGTTTGGAGAAGGCCACAACTGAGATTCAGGGCTGCCATGGGTATAGAGATTTAATGACAAGGCAAGACCAGCACACAAAAAGCATTAGACAAGTACAACTGATCTAAGCATGTGGCATCAATCACAAATGTGACATTAAGAGGCACTGCCTCACAAGAGACAAATATCTACAGATTCAATGCAGGCATGCACCATCTAGAAGAATTAACTCTTACCTTTTCATTCTAACATACAGCAGGATTCCAAACAAACAAAAGGGACAAAACAGACGAAGCAGGCATTAGGGACAGATCAATGTTATACCATTCATAGCATTAACAACCACAAGAGATAGCTAGAAAAGAATGTACCTAGTACCTACGTTTTGTGAACTCAACTCTCCTCTCTTTTTCACAACTATGATCTTAACTGAGCAATTAGTAGCAGGGGCGGCTACCTTCAAGATGACCCTAGTCCCACTTTCATTACTCCTTTGACACATACAATCTAGGCAAGGGAAGATGCATGCCAAAATGCAAAGATGCATCAAAGAATGCAGTGTTTGAAATCCCTAATGATATAGACAAGCCAAGGAAGAACAGTAAACTGGGCATGCAAATAAATAAGCATCTTTAAGACTTTTCAGAGGAGCAAATGACCAGTTCTGTTCTACCAGCTTTGCTCAATTTCTCCTTCTTTGACCAAGAAGTCAGAATGACATAATCAATGCAATTTTCAGTTGCCCTTCTACTGGTAGTCTTTCATATGGCAGTAATACTGCACAGTGAATTACAGCAAACAGCACAAGGAAGTTTGTGCTGGTGGGGAGAGGAAGAGAAGCAAATATTCCTAACCAGAGGAGCAAGAGCGACACTGGCTCTCAGACTCTTAAGTTAAAATGGAAACTGATGTAATATAGCACGCACCAGATCTATCTCCAGAACTACAACTTCCATTGTGTGGCTGTGGTTAAGGCATGTTGGTATAAGCCTCAGTTTTTCAACTTTGCCTCTTTACGTTTAATACATTTCCAATTCCAATGTCACTACACAACTAGCTATGAAGAGTGGAAAAAACCCTAAGGAAACATCAAAGAGGACACTTTCAATCTAACTTTAGGATGAGTTTCACACTGCACAGTCTTAAGACTGATATTTTGCAAATTACCCACTTACTGAGGGGGATTAGGGCTAGATAGATACAAAATTCCCAAATGTAATGCTTTTTAAAAGACTTTGATAACAAGCAGATAGTATCATTAAATCCTTCACCCAAATAGTTGTTAAGGATTTTATTAAAAGTTGTGCACACTGCTTTCACTAGGGAGATTAAGAGGATGCATTGTCTAAAAAACCAAAACAAAACAACCCCCAAAAAAACAAACAAAAAACCAAAAAGTAAACCAAAACACACACTCCCACCCAGCACAAACAAAACCATGAATATTAACTCTGCAATATTATCACTTCATGCTTACCTTTCTAAAGTGTGCAAGCATGTCTGGGCTCCTCTCACACATCTCTGTGAGGAGGACAACTGATGTGTGAAGAACACCTAAAGGTGAGGGGAGAAAAAAATAAATAAGTATCTACATTTAACATAATTTCCTTGGCTCCAGGCACGTCACAAAGATCATAAAGAAACAACAGGAAATAATTTTTTTAAAAAATTATTCTTAAGTACAACATATCTACCCCCAATATCTGCGCCTGCAGCTGTGCCCAAGGGAAAGCATATAGCAAGGTGCTCATGTCTTAAAGCTGCAACTAAAGGCCAAAGGAGGAGAGAAATAGGACTTTGTCTGCAGAACCTTGCATAGTAAATATACAGTCAGATGCTAACAGACATAGTTGGACTAGATGATCTTGAAGGTCCCTTCCAACCCAAACCATTCTATGATTCTATACAAACACAAGACTCTAGAAGGACAGTATGTATTAACTGCACTGTAAGTGTTGGGTGCCTCACAATTCCAGATGTTCTCTTCTGATTTGGGTACCCAAGCCAGCCTTAGGTGACCTGAATTGGGCCTTCCTCAGATGGTCTTGGAACTTGGTCTAGAGAAAGACTATAGCAGATTGCTTGGTCAAGCCAGCTGGTGTGTGCCCTACCTTAACGAAATGCAGGTAAAGTGTCTCTCAAAATAGTTTGAAAAGGCATGTCAGTTACAAACCTTTTAACTAGATGTCAATGCTAGAGAACTTGTTAGCGAGATACAACCTTGTAAAGCATGGAACTTCAACAATGAGCATTATTTTATATCTGCATTCAGCTGTGACACAGCAATCCTTCTCAGATGCTGACTTTTTCAGCTATTAATTTTCTGTAGCTGTTAAGTCTGTACTGGAGAGCTCCTGAAACAGAAAGAGACTAGAAGCCTGCTTAACAAGTCATGTTTTCTACAGAGATGACGACATTTATATTCTACAAGCTATGCAGCTTTCTGACCTATTGCAGGTTCTATCCAAAATCTGTTTTGAAGTATGCAAATATCTATCTATAAAGCAAATCTCACAGCTTTCTTAACACTGACGCTGCTTACTTATCACTGAGACCTCCCATGAGGCTGCTAAAAGGGTTTAATATATATTCTACTTCAGAGAAAGCTCAACATAAAGCCCATGACTGAGACCACTGGAAAGGAGATGATGATTTTTAAGGATGAGGAAAGTAGAAAAGATGATCTTGTTCTTGAATTCAGGTGAACCTAAATTCAATTCTCTGCTTGGCCAACGCTTGAAAAGGAGCATGCCCATCTTTAAAGAGAGAACAGAGGAAACAGAACAGCTCTCAGCTTTTCAGGGTCACATAAGACAGACAGAGGATCTCACACTGCCAAGCTGGATCACATAGGCATCGCTTACAAAGAGTCTTACAGACCATTCCTATTTGAAGCAGTGCCTAGTCTACACATTCTGATCAGTGCGTTTTAAATCAAGGTAAACTAGCTGCACACACATAAACTACATTCCACAGGCAAACTGTCCTGTACCTCAAAAGTTTACAGCACATGCAGAAAAAACCCAAAAAAACCCCAAACCAAACAAAAAAACCCCAAAACAAAACCATGAAACAACAGCTTCTCAGGAAGCTATTGTGGCCCATTAGTACTGTTGGCACTTACAAATACCATGTCTTGACACAGAACTTCTCCCTGTAATGGGTTTTCAGCACAGCAAATATCTACTGTGGAGCTCCTAATATAGTACACCCACCCATTTTATTGAGGTACATGCTCACTGCAGATATACCACAGGACTAAGACTTTGGGAAGTGAGCACTAGGCTTGATACAATGTAGTCAAGGTGTTAACACCAGTACTTCTCTTCAAGTAATTTTCTAGAAATACTTGTGCAAGAAAATGCATTAAAACAGAACAGTCTTGTAGAAGACCATTAAAGTGAGAATCTGTTTTATGACCTAGTCCTCATGAAAAACAGCACTGAAGAAAGACTCTTTCCTGACAGTGATGTAAGCATCTCGGTCCTGGGAATGCCTGCTAAAATTGTCAAGAGAAAACTTTGGTGCTATGCTACCAGAAGCCAAAAAAAAAAAAAAAAAAAAAAAAAAAAAAAAAAAAAAATCCTAAAAAGTGCACTTTAGAGTCCTTTTAGACAGTGTATTGGATAAAATAGCAAACTCTCCCATTCTACCCACTCTGAAGTGTATCAAAAACCAGTGAGAGTTCCTTTTGTCACCTATGCCACATAAAAGTCCTGATGACTAGCAGAGTCTTATGCATGCCTTCCTTCTGAATGACATGTTATCACCTCATAGAAGTGGGAAGAAACAAATAATATGAATACACTTCAAAATTTCCTTCCAAACAGAAGGCTTAGGTAGCAAGTCCACCATCCCACAAAGAATGGCATAGCCTTGCTAAGTAGAGCCTTGGATATTACCATGGTTCTTCTCATTCAGCAAGTTTTTGGTGGCTGGCAGGAACATCTCCATGAGTTCAGGCACCTTTCTAATGACATGAACAGCGCACAATGCTGCCTGTACAGGAAAAACATCTCTGTTAGTATATACTGTAATGACAACACATGTTTTGAGACCATCTAGCACAGTGGGAACTATCACAAATTTCATTATATACAAAGGCCTGCAAAGTTTATGGTACATTTTTCCATCTCTCTATTACAAGTGACACTTAACAGCATCACAGAGAAGAGTTCAATAAAACTACCACAAGTGATGAGAGAAAAAAACAAAAAAGCACTGAACTACAAAGTAATACTGCCACTAGCAATGGTTCATTCAAAAATTACACACTCCAGAAGTGATGTTAACTGCAAAGCAGCTCTGCCTTTAATAGGGCTACTTCAGTCAGTCTTCCTGTTGCTAGGAAGGGGACAATGCATTGGAAGCAAATAATGAAATTTATGTCAAATTTATGGCTCATTTTTCTTCTCTTGAATACCATCTCCTTCCTCACAAAATAACTTCCTCCTGCAGGTGATGGTTCCTACAAAAAAATAAAAGTAGACAAAAAAATTGCCTACTTCTTTCACAGTGCAGAAGCAACAGGAGACACTATGCTTTGCAGCTGCTTGGGAATGAAGTACACTGAGGGCCTCTTCCCAGAATACAGCAATACCTCTTAGCATTGCTTTCTCTCCAACCTCTCTCTAGCACCAGACAAAGAAGTAACAATGCATCTCTCCCTAAATCTTACTGCTTCCCACCCTCCCCAAGACAAGTTCCCTGAAGTACCTTCTTCCTAAGATAGGAGTTGGAAGTTTTGAGGAGCTTTTCCACCTCTCCTGCAAGGTCTCTGCACATTTCTGAGGAGCCCATGCAGCCAAGAGTGCAGAGTGCCAGCCCCTGCACATACTGCGTGCTGTGATTAAGGTCACTGTAAAGGAGAACAAAAAAAAGCCAATCAGCATGCACACAGAGAACCTGAACACAAGAAAAGGCATCTACATCTACAGTCATCTAACCAGCTGCACATATGGCCCAGAACAAATCTCCGGATTCTCAGCTATTCTGGAGCATGACTTAGGAGCAATAGCAGCTTTGAGTCCATGTACCACAGGGTTTGCTACTACTTCTACTTAGAATTCTGAATTATAAAGATAAAATACGTGGTTAAAACTATCAGGTGAGGTGAGAAGAGGGAAGACCATATGGAATTCCACTAAACTACTAAAGTAAACACAAGACATTGTATTTTGGAACTTGCATGCAGAAAAGAACCTAGCATAAGTACAGTCCTGCAGTGACTCTGTGGGTTGTCCCAGTTTAAACATGTTCTAGGACAGGCTTTAGCATCTGCATTTGCAAAACAAACAGTATATAAAAACCTATGTAAAAATACCCTCTATCCCGAGTGAAAACCACAAACCTTATCACTTGCACATCCTGAAAATAATCCATCCAAGAAATTTGTTTAGCAGTCCTAGCTATTTGTATGCCCAAGGAAGTTGTGAAAAGCGGTCAATAAGAAGTTAAACCACGTAACAGTTAGATGACATCCACGAGGCCAGCTACCAACGTCACACTAAGTACAAGACAATGTAACTTCCGTAACTTCCACACAGCCTTCCCAACAGCCTTTAAAACTGATTGCTGCACTACTTTTCCATCAGACTATTTGGTACTCATGCCACCACAGTATCCAGGATCAATGTTGAAGAAGGTAAAAAATATGGTTCCTGGTTTGGGAGGTGAAGGGAGCTTGGGACTGCATGATGGGAGAGCAGGGGAAACAAGTGGTATCTAACCAAATGCACACAATGCGCAGAAAAGCAAGAGACAGTATTCTGGCTGTAACGTCAAGCAGCTATGGCAACATGCAGATGAAGGAACAGACAGCACATGCCACTAAATGGGTTGGTTTTTTGTTTCCTTCCTTTAACAAATTTTTGGCAGCTATATAAAGCTGTATGTATAGCAAGTATGTGCTTCACAAGGATGCTCACTTTTTCTGTATCAAAATTCTAGGTCTTGCTACAAAATAATGAAAGACAATGCCATAAATGAAATACCTCCAAGTCTAGATAAAAGCAAGACAAAAGCGGTAGATACAGAAGCCAAAGGAGAAAGCAATAAACAACCCACCGAGGTGATGGGAAGCTGTCCACCAGTTTTGCTCAGCTTCAGTCTGACCCATTTCCAGTTCAAACTCACTACAGCTTTACCACACAATTTAATTTAAGCATAAACAATCAAAAGAGGTGTTAACCTAGCAGCCTGGTTCTAATGGAAGAGCCTCACAGGTATGACATTTCAATGAAAAATCTTTAGCCAAATGTTCTCTCTTCTCCTGGACACTAGGTCCAAAGTTAGCAGATCCTCAAGCCTGCAGTTTTGTCAAGTTTCTTTCCAAGTACTTTGAGGCCACAGTCTAACTGAAGATGAATACTTTACTTGCTAGTATCCGAGAGGCTTATGTTCTAAAAGTAAATAATAATAAAGAGACACACCACACACAACTAAGCAGGCATTTGGATAAATCAACTAGAAACCAGTTGTTCCACTCCTGCTCTGATTCATCTTGAAAAGGAGTGTTACTGGATATACGCCAATCATCATCTACTGAACTATAATGTAAACCAGTCCCAGTTTGACAGCATTTTGCTGAGAGAAAAAAAGTAAAAAAAAAATAAAAAATTGTGTCCTCTCTTGTCTGATTTCAGCAAGATGCCGAGCAGACAGCACATCCCAAGTTGCTGCTTGCTTCTGGGGAAAACCATTCATCAGGACCATTAGGCCAACCTTCAAAAGAAAGCAGGATATACAGCCTTGATCCTTGAAGTGAGACAACTCTTCAGAACTCTTCAGCAGAAGTCAAGTAAACAAACACAGGACAATATGGCTGCAGCAATACATGTGACTTTGTGACATATGATGGCCAGTCCAGCCTACAAAGTTTAACAGTGTTATAAAAACATCCTGGTTAAATAATATTTAAAAGGTGCATGGGCCTTTATTGATGCTGCTTTACTGCTCACCTCATTCTTTCCCACTGCAAGCTTTACAGAAATGGAAGAGTTCTTTACAACAATTAGAGGTCTTCTGCACTGGCTGAGCAGCTTACTGTGGTCATTTCACCTTCCTGATTTTATTTATCTTAACATGACCTCCAGAAACACATACTACCATTCTGTAACAGTAGTTACATGAAGTGTTGTTTGCCACATACATCTCTTTGGGATCAATGCAATTTTATATTCTCTTCCCTCTAAGGAAGCTAGACAGGATCATCCAATACAGTACAATACTAGAACAGTCTTGTACGGTCAACAGCACACAAGGAATTGAAGATACCAGTTTTATAACACAAGGGCAAAAAACTAAAGTACTCAAAATATCACTGCCAGGAGTGTACTTTCAGATCCTGAAACCTCAAAGCATGTGTTGATGGAGAGAGAGGTGGTACCCTTACTTCTTGATGCAATTGGTCATAAGAAGATGGACATCCTGTCTCTCATCCAGCAGCAACATGGCACCTAAATACCCAATGCGCTTGTCTGTGAATTTCTGAGAGGCAATGAGCTTGAGGCACTCCAACTGGAAAAAAAAAAAAAAAAAGGAAAAAATAAAAAAGGAGAAGAAAAAAAAAGACAGAATTAGCTTAAACTACTTCTTAGCTAGAGGAGAAACAGTTTGAATTTTGATGTTTACTCATTCAGGTCTCTCAGAATGCATTTTTAAAACTGTATTTTATTCCCATTTTGGTGATGTGGAAAACAAAGGTTAAATGACCTGCCCAAAACTCCCAGCAAGCCAGTAGGAAAGTCACTGGCAGCTCCTGCATCTTGAAGTAGCCAGACACTGTTGGTCTTCCATGACCTCAGGTGTACCAGATATGTGGGTTTATGTCAGATCACAAAAGTAAAAGATAACATATCTATAGAGACAAGAGATCCATCATTAAAAACAAAATAGTAAAGATCTGGAAATCTAGATCATGTGTCATATTTGATATGCACTGGAAACTTCTGAACCAGGCTTAAATGGATCCGTCTACCTACCAGAGAGAGAATCAATGCTCTGTAAGTTAAGTTGTCAAAAGCAGTTTTTGCTTATTACGACCTGTAACTAACTTCCTAGCTAGGTAAACCTTAGAAACAGAGAGAGTCAAGTTTTTGTGCTGCTCTGTAATCTCTATTTGAACACCTGAAGTTTGACTAAAATCATACGCACTGTAGCCACTATAAACTTCCCTTTCACCATGTAGAAAGGTCAACTGTGTTCAATAGCATAAAGGAGATCCCCAAGATAACATACATAGCTGCCATTTACACTCAGTTGATTAAGAATTTAATTGCTAAGCCATTTTTAAACTTAACACTTTCTTACTGGAAAAAAAAAAAAAAAAAAAAAAGACATCAACCACAGAGATATTCTGACATTATGATGCACCACAGTGTTTTTCCTCCAACAGACAACTAAATGAGTGTAATCAATCTCTACTTTCCAGACAAGAAGTAGCAGAAATGGCTTCTCAAAAACAGGTCAGAGACCTACCCCGCACAAAACCAGGCTGTTTTACAAGCTACCTGGGGCAGCAAGTAAGCAAACACAGTGGGTTTAAGGAGGGGTCAGACAAAGCTTGCAACAGACCCTTTTTAAAGGAAGTAAAGGGGGCATGCACAGGCAAAAATACAGGGTGTCATGAAAAGTTTTTCATGGTCCCTAGCTACAGGGAAGCTTGAATAGGGCAACAGACACAGGTGAGATGCAAGAAGCACAAACACATCAGGAGGGTAAAGTTGTACAGGATGCTGATAAGAAAATTAAAGTTGAAGTGCCAGAGAAAGTAAGTGCTATGGCCTGACGAGTTCTCATAACTGCATGGCATCAGAACATACAACCCAACTATGCAAGAAGTTGTCACATTCGAACACTCAGCTAGTGCACGGTGACAAACTGATAAGAAAAAGTTTGAAAGAAAGCGAGTTCAGTTTGTTACATTTAAAAGGGATGAAAATCTAGAACAAAGAAACACCTTTGAACAGTAAGATCAGTCATCCACAAGGACAGCTGAACTTGCACAAATGGGCAAGATGAACCAGGGATAAGGTACAGAACACTAGATATTGACCTCTTATCTTTCCAGTGCTTTCTGTAAGAGAATAATGAACCCCTGAACCAACTTTCTTCCCCAGGCTTACAGAATACTTTCTTATACAATCCTCTGCAAAAATGCAATGTAGAACTGGTGACAGCTAAGCTGTAGTGTAAGAGCCAACAAAGGCAGAAGACCAACAACTAAGAAGAAGAAGGAAACTAATGACTGCAACACATACTGTAAGACATATTTCTAGTACTTCTGAACTTGAAAGTTATTACCGAAATAACCCCTGTGAAAGGTTGATGAGTTCTTGTTTCATTTGTATACAAATACATGCACACTAGCTTCAATGCACAGCAACACTGAGAAACATAATCAGCTGAGGCTCTTACTAGGTCTAGTTAGTGGAAGAAATCTTGATACCATTATCTCCTTTTCATTCAAAGAAACAATTAAAATCTGCTACATCATTACTGTAACAGATACACTAGTAAAGCCAGACAGGATACAGGCATATAGCCAGACTTACCCACATTTTTACTGACAGTCACTCCTCCAACTGGAATTTTTTTTGCAATTAGAAATAATGACAACAATAATAAAGTTATCTGACCATTTGCCCAGGCTGCCTGACACCTTCTAAACTTGCACAAATGGCCTTTGCACACGCTCAATAGAAAGTTTGCCATCCAGTGCATCTCATCATGAACTGGCTAAATATGGTGCTCATTCTCACATCTCTGTACAAGATAACCTGGGTCAAAGTTGAGGATCCCTGGCTTGGAAAGAAGTAGATCAACCATCCGCTACTTCTGACACCTTCTCTAAATTATCTTGTAGTATTGGCTATCCCATCCACACTGTTAGCTGAAGTCAGATGTCTGCTTACCTCTTTAAGAGAGACGAGCACAGCCTGTGGATCTCTTCTGTTTTTCAGCAGAACACATTTTGTGCGTATTTATCCTGTCACTCTCAGAAACTTCCTGTTTTTTCCATCCAATGCTGGACTGTCTGTCTACAAGACTCCACCGCTGGAACAGCGTATGTCTTCAACAGGTCCTCAGCTCACACAAACTATACTCCGCCTACACAACATTAGCACTTTGAAAGATCCCTCCCAGTTAGAAGCATTGAGAACATGCAAAGGTCTACAACTTACTCCCTTGAAGAATACTTGTTAAAATCCCTTCTCAGCCTTGGGCCCTACACCTTCCTGAAAACACAGCTGATAAACTTCATGAGAATCAAGGTCATCGAATGAAGTGCTCTGTTACCAAGTTATTGTGCATAGATTTTTCTGTTTGAGATGTAGCAACCCTGGCAATAATAGATATTGAATAACCTGTTGTATCCTTCTTTCACCGAGAGTGAAGAGGTAATTTACCATTACTGACCAAAGCAGAAACTGAAAAATTATTAGATAAATGGCCTAATCTTCCATATATGGGATTAAATACTTAAGCAACAAGATAAAACAATCCAAATAAAATGTAAATATGTTCTTAACATAGGTCAAGTGTAGAAATTCCAGATGACATCTGTAACATTTCTCCTTCTTCTTGCAGCTCTTAGATACTTATCCTTAACTTTTATGACAGAAAGTTTCTCTCTTAGACCAGGGAGTCTGGCTACATGAAGTGTTAAGAACAGGAGAATACACAAATTCACTTGCTCTTATACAGCAACTCATTATCCTGTGTGAAGAATCCAATGATGTAGATGTAAGATGATGGACTTTATATGCAACAGCACAGCCCAGACTCACTCCCTAATATCAATACTATCTAGAATTTTATTTCAGTGGTTTGAATTTACTCTTTCAGTGAGACATGTCAGAACTGGGAAATTCAATCATGAATGGATAGACTCAAAGACTAAGCAAAGCTCAACTTGAAGAACATCTTGTAGAACAAGAACTTGCATCTTCCTGTCTCCCTTTTCCACAATCTACGTGTGTCAAAAACAGTGCATCAAAAATAAGCCAAGAGATGGAAAACTCATACCAGCATTCTCCAAGTCACCTCACTAAGATGGGGACAAGGAACAGCAATTGCTAGGAACAAACCAGCTCTTAACTGCTAGAATACATTCCTTTAGAAGGAAAAGGGTATAGAACCTTTTTTGAAGCATCTGGTATTTTCCATCACACAGAACTCCCAAGTGCTGTTTTGAACCCATACAGAAGTATACGTATGTGGATATATTCATAAACCACTGCACTGTGGCTTAAGAAACACTGCTTTGCAGAAATGGGTGATGAGGAGCACAGTCTGGCAAAAGCAGACTAACCCTAAGTTTCGTAACAAAATATATAACTCTCCAAACAGCAGATCTCACTAACAAAGTCAAAACTAACTAATGGAGGTTCAGAACATATGTGAAGACAGACCTCAAAATATCCCAAAGAGAAGACAGCAAAAGTGCAGCTAGAAATGCTCTGAACAAGTCACTGTGCCCAGAACACACAAAGCAGACTGGCATATGCACACAGCACAGCGAGCACTGAACTCTGACCTACCTGTCCAAAATGTGCAGGGTATCCCAGCATATGCATGTACAGCAGCTTTGCCACATTTCTGCATCGGTATGTGTTATCTTCCTCTCGGAAGGATGACCGGATAGCAGCACATTCCTTTTGGATCATCTCACGCTCTTCTGCCTGGGTTCTTGCTGTCCGGATGGTCCGGATCAACTCCCGCAGTCTGATGGGGGCTGGCATCCTCTGGGAGAAGAGAGAGATCTGTAAATTTTGTACTGTATCTAAAGGCTTCATAATGGTCTCATACTTCCATGATTTTTTTTTTTTTTCTTTCTCCCCCTACAACTATGTGAGTAGAAGAATTAAAAAATGCAGACTGCTTCAGTAGCACGGTTAAAAATAAACTTGAAAATCAGAGGCATTCATTGTACTGCACATTTGCTTTCCAGAACATTAGGAACAGGAACTGCTATGCTTTGAGCTAGCTGTCAGGTGAACATGATTCCCCCACCTGAAACAGGCAGAAATGGCACTGTGCAAGGTATGCTCTCATATTCACATCATCTGCCTCTCTCCAGAAAAGTCAGGCTCCAAAGAGAGTTGACGCCAAAATTCATGGGATAGAAATTTTTTTTAAAAAGCAATGCTGTTTAATAACTTGCACAAGATTTCACACGACTGTTCCCAATAGCCATGCTTCAAAAATCCAGCAAATGTGTGCCATACACACTTCCTTCCAGAGGCGTGGAAGTCAGCAGAAAAAGCAGATGGAAGACCAGTCCCAGCTGTGTGGATATTTCAGAGGATCTTCTTTCAAAAATAACTAAATCTAATTGACACCATCCCTTTATTACACACCAAACAGAACAATCCTTTCCAAAACAAACTTTACTGTCACATTACTGTCTGGTTGCACTGTTAGAGTGTGCAAGAAAAGTGTATTCTGCATGAACTCCAAGTAGTTTCACTTCAACAGATGGAATACTAACGGAACCATCTGACCCAGGGAGCAATTTAGTCTTCTGAGTATCCCTCAAGAGGAAAATGGCTCTCAAACAAAAAGCAAACTTCAGAATTATGTTCAACTGTTGAGTTTCTTAGTTCATGCTCACCCAAGCAGACTTCTGACTTCCTGGGAGATCAGACTATGCAAGCATCTCTACAGTCTTCTTTCACCCATGTTAGACTGCGAACATAACTAAGCCAGTCTGATAACAGATAATGTCACCCCAAGTTGTAAAAAGTTGCCAGAGCAGTACGCTACAAATTTTGTCCATGTAAGTGTAAGCAGTAGATATTGCAGGAATGAAGAAGCTTTGAACTTGAGAACACTTAAAATTGAGAAAGATTCCAGAACAGATTAACATTCACCTATTATCAACTATTCCAAAGCCTATTCCAATGCCAACAGACCTTTAATGTGGTTTATCCTGGTAACTCCTGCTGATTTTCTGTTCAGCGTAACTGTTCACATGACACAATGTGCATACACCCAAACAATTAAAATAACACGGGGAGAGCTTTCTCTCCACCAGACTGCACAATCGCCGATCTGCTGCCCTGGGTAGATGCACTACTGGGCATAAAGGGCAAACTGCAGAGAACAGCAGCAGCCACGCCAGGTAAGGCATAAAACTGATCTAACTCAGAGGAAGTAGTGGGTGTAGAGAGGAAACAACAGAGAAAATACATCTCCTCAATATCTTCCCTGCTTCCAAGATTTGCTGCAACTTAGGAGACTTCCTGAACCACAGAGAGTACCTTTCTGCATAGCACCTCTCTGCAGATCTATGGATCTACCTCATCACTTTTTGAAAGCATCCAATCTTTCTCCCATTCATACCCAAGGTAATAATTTGCAGTTTAACTATAAATTCAGTGAAAAATTATCTTCTGCTTTAATTCCACTGTCTGACCAAGTAAGGGATACTAAATTAAATTCTTACACTGTGAGAAAGAAAGTACTCATCACCTATTAATTGATTTTATGTCATCTATGATTTTACAGCTTTTAATTGTATCTACCCCTCGGCCACCTCCCTTGCCAGGCAGCAGAGTCCTATTCTAATCTCTTCCCGTAAGGAGCCATTGCACAATTCCTTCATATCACTCTCTACCCCTCAGAATTCTACTTTTTTTTTTTTTTAATTATTATTTTTTAAACAAAAATTAGAACTATAAAAAGTATTCAGGCAATGGGTGCACCATTAGTTTACACAGAATTTTTTTTTTCTTTGCACTTAGGAAGTTAAAAATGTTTAAACTTACTTTGCCTGTTTGGCTATTGTGGAGCTGGCATTTAAAAAAAAATCCTACAGATAGCTCTAAGACCTTCAGCTTAGGTGACAACTCACTTAGAGCCTTTCACTGTGTATCTTCACAGTAATTTCTTTTCAGTGTAGGCACTGCTTTGCACTCACTGACAATGGATTCATTTTACCATCTTATTGCATACTTCCTTAATATCACAAAATCCTTCCACAGCTTTAGGATGAAACTGTCACCTCACTATTCATTCCTCTTCTCCAGATTGCTTTATCAACACGCTCAGTGGCACAGTTCTGCAGAGCGCCTCTCAATAACCTCTTCCTAATACAAAAACAGAGAGATTTTTCTATCACTGTCTGGTCATTTTTCTTTCTTCCTTAGCTAATTATTAATTCACAATAAGATCTCCTTTGAAAAACTGTTCTGTAAGACAATAAAAGCCTTTGGTTTGAGGCTCTGTCAAGATTTCTGAAAAACCCAACAATTTTATAATCCAGACAACCTTTATGCATTTACTAAGAACTCATCAGGAACCACACAGTTCCTGGGACCGCTCCTGCAGGCCTTTTAAAAAACTAGCATCACACAAAGCACCATGTACTCTTGTTGTAAATAAAGTGTTGATTAAGATAGTGACACATCAGATTTACAAGTTGAAGAATTTTGAGTTCCTTCAGAGATACTGGTGAACTTTACTTTCTATTGGCAATTTATTACTAATTTTACCTCTTTGTTCCAAGAGTTCTTCTTGCGACATTTCAGTTTGAGAGTATTTCTCACAGATTTCAACAAGAGAATCCCAGTAAGTTTTTCCATATAAAGCATTGGTGTAAATAATGTGGATTTTTTTTTAATTATTATTTTTTGCTGTGATTTTTTTTTCTTTTCACATTGCTTATTAGCCTGACTTCTAGCATATGTCTCTGCTATGAACCATACTCCTATACTGGGCAACAAAACAAAGTCCTATCCAGGCACGTGGTTCTTAGGTATCACTGGAACATTTGAGGAGAAAAACAAAACAAAACCACCACACCACATGTTGTCTGTGCTGATGTGTTGACAAAATGAATTATGAACACCAATTGAGAAGAACGAGGACAGGAAAACAGATAAATAAGTTTGCTTAGGAACATAACACACAAAGCCCCCCCCTTCAAACAAATAATAAGCAGTTCTTCCTTTTTATTGGATCTCTCAAAACACTTTGTCACCTTTGAAAGACATAGCCAGACAAGGCTTCCACACAACCACCAGCAAATCAATTCTCTTGGACCACCTCATTGTCTCACAGCACAGACAATGCTGACTGCCCTGGGATGCTGCAGGCACAATAGCTTAAATACCTCTTGTACTGCAGCATTCTCCAAAGCAGCAGCAAGGTGAAACAAATATGGCCAGTTTTGTCACAACCCACAGAATGACTTCCTACTACTCCTACTAGAGGCATCTGCAGAACACACACCTGAAGAACCATGTGCCGCCCACAAAAACTTTAATTGCAGCTCTTGGAGCACTGACTACACCAGGTGACCAGCATGAAGATGGTATCAACACAAGGTCTACTGAGTAAATAACTACAGAACGGGAAGAAGACAAGCCAGCAGGGACTGCTGGGGCAGATACTACCACTTCATTACAAAATACAACTGCATGTGCCTCTCCAACATCTGAACAAAGGAGCCAGGGATGCCTGAGCAGTTATTTTTCATGTCCTGCCTGTTAATCTCGCCCACAGCTCTAAGATTAGCAGCACATGCCCCTTGGTCATCAAGCAAAAATCCATAGTTTTTAGGAAAGCTAATCATCCTAGATCCAAGCCAGCTGAGTAAACAAACCAGGTTTTGTGCAGGCATCCCAAGACTTTATCAAGTCATTCAGAATCTTAGTTTCACTCACAGAATCACAGAATGTCAGGGATT